TGGCTAGATTTCATTTTTTATTTTATAAAAGTGCTATAAAGCACCATTATCACTTTATTTTTTTTCACATGATTTTTAGATTTTATTTGCTCTTAAAGTATTTCACAATTCTTTTTTTTTTTTAATTATTATTGGATTTTACCATCCATTCAACTATTTTGCATGTTTTACTATACGTTTTTGATAAGTGTTATGAAAATACGAAATTAATAATTAAATTATACATAAATTACTATAAACAAGTCGTACACTGAATAACGGTGCATTTTATACATAAATAAGCAGAATAAACTATAAATTCATCGTTTATAATTTATATACTGTAAAAATTAAGAAATTGGTAACAAAAAGAAAAATCGACGTAAATATGTAAAATAATAGAGGGATTATGAGTGAAATATGTAATTTATCACTGGAATCCCATTTGAATATAGATGAAAGAATAACGGACTACATTATTGGGCTCTATGCATAAATTTATGGCCCAATGGACCAAATGAAGTGTCTTTGGGTGTTCTTTAGTTTCCTTTTTCCTTTTTTTTTTTTTTAAACGAAAAAACTACTCTTATTTGAAGAAAAAGAAGATGGGCTTTTTTTTCTGTTTTTGGAAGAATTTTCATTATTAAGTGGGGCCCTCATCACACGACCTGTTGGACCAGTCAACGCACTTTACAATAGATCGACTTTTTTTTTTGTAGGGTTAGACAAGTTTTAGGGAAAAAGCCATCATTTGTTTAACCATTCATATCAAAGAGAAATTTACTCCCTTTACAATTCATTGACTAAATAATTCATAATTACGATCACACAAATTTTTGTATCTAAATTACGTTTTTAATAATTAATATAATATTAATAGGTGAAACGGTTATAAGAGGTGATAAGAGGGATTAATTTTATTTTTTGAGAAGTGATAAGAGTTCTCCACGTTACCTTCTTCCTCAAGAAGCAGTCCAACTCTCTCTCTCTCTCTCTCTCTCTCTCTCTCTCTCTCTCTCTCTCTCTCTCTCTCTCTCTCTCTCCTATACTCAGGCCGAAGGATATTTCTTTTCTCCTACCTTATTTCAGCAGCCCCGTTCATCTTCTTTTGGCGCATAAATTTTCTCCTTTCTCTGTTCTTTTCACCATCGAGCAACTTGTAAAAAAAAATAAATCGTCACCCTAGAAGACCCGCCGCGATATGTCCACCGTTCAACATCTCGCCCTCACAAAGCAGCCCCTATCGTCGTCGCATTTCACATGCGTCCTCACAACAAGCCCTTGTCGAGGAAACCTCAGACCCGAAGTCCTCCGA